GCATGGCACGGGAAATGCCGCCAGCGCTGCAGCGGGAGCACGAGTCGAAACGCGCGGAAGCGCGGAAATGAGGCCAGCGCTGCAGCGGGAACACGATTCGGAACGAGCGGAAGCACGGAAATGAGGCTAGCGTTGCAGCGGGAGCACGATCCGGAACGAGCGGGGCCCGAAAATGAGGCCGGCGCCTCAGCGAGAGCAACATTTTCAAAAAATGCAGGCGAAAACCCAATTCTGGGGAAACCTGTGTGTAAAAAACCAGTACGCGGGGGGGGGGTCGGACACTTTCAAACCGTCATCAGGGGAAGAGGGAGAGTAATATACATATATGGGAGATCCCGGGCCCCGGGCCCCGGGCCGGAACCTCCCTTGTATATAGGGTGCGGCCCTCTCCCGGGGCGCCCTTCCGGCGGCCCCCGCGCGTTCCAGCCCGCCCAAGAGGGTTCCAGGAGCGCCGAGAGAACCCCAGGATCGCTTCAAGACCGCCAAAGATCGCTTCCAGAAGGGTCAAGAGGCGCTCAAACCGCCCCAAGAGGCCTTCAAGAGGCCCCCCACGAGCGCCCCGGGAGACCAAAATGGCCACATTCCCCTCGTAAAACGTACATTTTTACGATATCAGCTCCCTTAGCTGTCGGAGCGGCCAGAAAGCCCCACGAGGCGCCCAAGGACGCTCCAGGACGACTGAGGACAGCCACAAGACGGCCCAGGAGGGCCTCCCGGGACGCTCCTCCGGCGGCCCCCGGGCTGCCCAGTCCGCCCAAGAAGGCTCCAAGAGCGCCGAGAGAACCCCAGGATCGCTTCAAGACCGCCAAAGATCGCTTCCAGAAGGGACAAGACGCCATCAAACCGCCCCAAGAGGCCTCCAAGAGGCCCCCCAAGAGCGCCCCGGGAGACCAAAATGGCCCCATTCCCTCCGTAAAACGTACATTTTTAGGATATCAGCTCCCTTGGCTGTCGGAGCGGTCCGAAAGCCCCACGAGGCGCCCTAGGATAGCCCGAAGACAGCCCAGGAAGGCCTCCCGGGACGCTCCTCGGGCGGCCCCCGGGCCTCCCAGTCCGCCAAAGAAGGCTCCAAGAGCGCCGAGAGAAGCCCAGGATCGCTTCAAAAGGCCCCTCCAAAGAGCCCCAGAAGCCGAAAATCATAAATTTCCCAATGATTTTTGAATCATTCTTGCGCTCTCCCATGTTCCGCCTCCCCACGGTCCCAGACCGCGTCAGGGGCCCTTCAGATCGCTCCAAGACGGCCGAAGAGGCTCCCAAGAGAGCCCAGAGACGGCCCAGGAGGCTCCCCAGATAAGTCAAGAGGGCCTCGAGAGCGCCCCAAGAGAGCCCCAAGAGCGACCCAAGAGGGCCCGAAGAGCGCGGCATTTCAAGGTCTCCGGCCTGAGAGGCTCCTAGGACGCCCCCGGAGGCCATCAAGAGGCTCCCAAGAAACCCCGTGAGGCTCCCAAGAGGCCCCCCGGAAGCCCCAATAGGCCCCCAAGGGGTCCCCAGGGAAGCCCCCTAGGGGGCCCCCAAGACAGTTCGGTAAATCGTATTTCCCAGATAGCTTTCCAGGAACATGATTCCTTGGGCTTCCGCCCACCGCCCCAACCATGTTTCCAGTTATAGGCTTGCCGACAAGGCCAAAAGGTGCCCCTCGGTAAGCCCCCAGAGGCCCCCCTCTTAGAGAGTCGAACAAAACATGCTCCCGGAAAGCTTCCCGGGAACATGGTTCTCTATCTCGGAGTAGGCCCGGGGGGGGGGGCGGGCCGCTGCCTGTTCCCTCCATCGGGGCCCACCGCGGGGGGGGATCCAGAGCTCCCGAGGCGGCCCGAGCCCGCGCCGAAGCAGGCCACGACAGGCTAAGGGGGTCCCACGAGGCCCCGAAGACGCCCAAGATGCCCTCAAGACAGCCGACGAGGACTCCAACACGCTCCAGGACGGACACAAGAGGCTCCCCAAGAGGGCCCTGGAAGGCAAGATTCACTCGTTTTCTGAGTGTTTTGGATTTTGGCGTTCTCGCTTTTCCCGCTTTCCAGCGCTCCCTCACGGCCTCGGAGGCCCTTCAGATCGCTCCAAGACGGGCCACGAGGCCCCGAAGAGGGCCCCGAGACGGCCCAGGAGGCTCCCCAGACACTGTGCCCCAAGAGCTCCTCAAGAGAGGGCCCAGATGGGGGACCGCCAACCGATATTTCGAGGTCTCTGGCCCCAGAGGCCGCCTGTAGGCCCCCGGAGGCCACTAAGAGGCTCCCACGAAGCCCCGTGAGGCGCCCAAGAGGCCCCCAGGAAGCCTTAAGAGACCCCCCAGGGGCTCCCAGGGAACGCCCAAGAGGCCCCCCAACACACCCGAAGAAATCATGTGCCCAGAAAACCTTCCGTGGACATGGTTCATCATAGGCCCGAGAGTTCCAGGAGGCCCCCAAGGGGCCCTCAGGGAACGTCCAAGAGACCCCCCAACACACCCCAACAAACCATGTCCCCAGAAAGCCTTCTGGGGGCATGGTTCATCATGGGCCCGCGAGTCTCCGGAGGCTTCGAAGTACCACCATGCCACAGGAGAGCTGTCTGGGAAGTTGATTGGGAACATGTCTGATCGCCTTCTCGCGGCCCTCCGCAGATCGTTTCGCACAAAGTTGCCCCAAGTGCCCTCTTGAACCGACGACGACGTTGAAACGACGAAGACGACGAAGACGACGATGACGACGAGGACGACGACGGCGGCGCGTCCCAGTAATCGACGACGACATTACGACGACGACGACGACGACGGCACACCCCAACAGGCTCCCCAAGACGCCCCCAAACCCATGCTCCCAGAATGCCTTCTGGGAATGCGGTTCATACGGCCTCCGCCCCCCTACACAACCATTTTCCTCGAAGGCCTTTCGGAATGCAGATTGGCATGCGTGGACTGTGGTCCACTACTTCAGTGGAGCAGTGAATTCGTCAAGGCCTTGGGCCTGCTAGAACCTGAGCGCGCGCGAAGCGCGCGCGATGGTTTTAGTATATATATATATATAAAAGGCTACCAGGCTATTGGGCAATAGGGCTATTGGGCTATAGGGCCATAGAACTATAAGGCTATAGGGCTACAGGGCCATAGAGCTATAGGGCTACCCGGGCACCCAGGCACTTGGGCACCCGGGCACCCTGACACCCTGGCACCTGGGCACCCAGGCACCCGTGCGGGCCGCGGAAGTCGGTGACACACCTCATCTAACCATGTGAATCCGCTAGGACCCCTACAGAGGCAAGCTCTGATTGGGAAAAAGCACGACTTGAAGGCCTCTTGAATCATTATTGGGATCTTCGGGACTGCCTTGGGGCCCTTCTGGGAGGTCTCTACAATTACATTGGAGAGAAAAGTGTGAGCTGGTGTCCTGAACTCTTCGCGAGAATTTCACGACTGCCCGCCGTGAAAATTGTCAGAATCATTCCCAGAACGAAGTCCTAGTCTGTCGACTGTCTATCTGGATATCATTGCCCTCTCATTTGTATAGCAAAGTATGTTTGTCTTCTCTCTTTCGCGTTCTCTCAATCCTCAACTTTCTCAGATATGAGCCCTCTACTCTCTACGTGCGACGTGCTCTCTTACTATGACCATGGTCGCAGATTATCTCTTCCTCTCTCTCTCTCTCTCTCTCTCTCCCTCTCTCCCTCTCTCTCTCTCTCCCCTCCTTCAAATATAACTCCCTCTCTCCCTCTGTTTCTAACTCTCTCTTTCTCTCTCTCGTTCCTCCCTTTTCTCTGATATTAGATGTTTGCTTCATATACCCTCTCACCCTGGTCTGCTGCCAAGTAACAAATTTATATGTTCTCTCTGTTCGAAGCTGCTCTCTATCCTCTATGCTGGGAAGCTGGGGGCCCGCCGCTGGAACCCCGCCGAAGTCGGACCAGAACCAAGAAGGTGGAACCCGGCTGTCCACTGAAGTCCACACGGCATGTCCACCAGGCCTGGGAGCCCAGGAAGTCGGCCGCAACCGAATTCGGCCTGGTACTTTCAACCCTCTCAGTGCAAGCATTGATTGGGGAATGATCGTGACCTCTCGGAGGCATCCTTGGGAGGCTCCGTGGCCACTTCGAGCCATGTTGGGGCTGACGTAGGGTCCTTACTCCAAGGTGGGCAAAGTTCTGGCGTAGTGGAGGCCAATATTTCTGGGGATCCGGGGGCTATTGGACCACTTGGAGCCAGCATTGGGCCGCGTCCAGAGGTAGAAGGAGTGGTAAACCGCTCACTGAAGAGGAAGAAGGGGTGGTATGTCGAAGAGGTCGTGCTAGCTCAAAAACTGACGCACCGGGGGACTTTTGGGAATTTCGGGCCAGGAAGAGAGTGTCGAAGGCCATGCTACTTTGCCATCCTCCTCATCTCTAGTATGGCTCATATTCCGACGCTCATATATGTCTCATAGAATCCGCGCATTCTCCTCCTCCTTATCCCCACCTCTATCAACTTCCGCCTCTCCCTGCTCCTTCTGGATTCCCCTACATCGCGCTTCTGCTCCTCTCCTCTTGGCCATCCTGCTACCACATCCCCTCCATCCTCGTCATCATCGTTTTGAAAACAGCAGAGTTTTTTCCACCTGACACCCCACACACTTCACAACACACAAACGACGCACGCAGAGCACACACACACACACCTCACAATATCATCATCCTCATTCTCATCATCATATCAACATCATCATCATCATCTCATCATCATCATATCTAATCATCCTCATCAGCATCATCATCATCATCTCATCATCACTATCATCATCCATCAGCATAATCAAGCTATCGCACTCAGATCAGCACATCAGGTTCAGTAGTATCATAACATAAATCCATCATTATCATAATCATCATCATCAGCATATCATCTACTTCAAATCCACATCAACACTAGCCTGCCAATTTTCGTCATTTTCATCGTCGTCAATGTCATATCGTCTTTATCTCGCGAGCATCATCCTATCTCGACATCGCCAGCACATTGTCCAACCGTCGTCCTTCTCCTCGTATTGCTGCTCCTCCGTAGCTGTGTTCCGCCGCCTGTTCATTCTGCATCACATTTTCGCTCACCACGGCACCAGCACGGCGTGCGGCGCACCTCCTCCTTTCTCCCGAGGAACGCCACCCGCCATGGCTCCGTGCGCGGAAGTCCTGAGCAGCTACCAGCCTTGCTCCGACCGTGGCGAGGAGCCTTCCGAGGAGTCGGAGCTGGAGGGACCCTCCGAGGACGAGCCCACGGAGATCACGTTCAGGCCGTTCGCAGCTGAGGTGCGCCCAGCGAGGCCGGGTTCTGCGACGCTGGAGCTGGAGGCCGAGGCGGCCCTGCCCGACTGCGAGCCCTGCAGCGCCAAGCTCCAGCTCGGCGAGGACGGCCTGCTTGTCCACCTGCACGACGGAGGTGGGCGTGGCCGCCTGCTGCAGCTGCTCATGCTCCCGTCGGTGCAGGTCACCATCGTCCAACCCGTCCTCATGCCCTCTGGGCCATGGTACCTCGGCTCCACCAGCCCACCTCCCCAGGTGGGGATTGGCCCCGCGAAGCCCGAAGTCACGCTCACTCAAGCCATGCGTCCTGCAGGGCGCGCCGGCACGACAACCACCCTGGGCCATCGGAAGGGAGGCAGCATTCGGGTGCGTGCGACGCAGCGCAGAGGGGAGGGAGGCGAGGAGGAGGGGAGGAGGGATGCGAGGACAAGGAAGTGGACAAAGCAGGGAAATGCACAATCCCTACGCCGGACATGGAGCGCCAAACGCGCCCGGGACGCAGTCCGCCAAACGCACTGCTCGAAAAATGCATGCGATGATGGGTTGATGAAGAATGAATATCAACCTGTGATCGGGCTTGAAATTGTCACGGAACCTCTCTTGCGAATTGCTATGACCGCTTCGTTGGCCTGCCCTTGCTTTCTTTTATGGTTTTTTTTCTTTTTCCATTTATTTGATTTCCAGTTAATTACGCTTCTTTTATTTTTTGTTATTCGTGTATATTTTTTTTCTTGTTTTGTTTGTTTTTTTTTTTTTTTGACACCCTGTCAGAAAACAAACCATTGACGACGTTGCTTGCCAGGGCGAAAGGTTAGACGAATGCCGCGACAGCGTCAAATGCATTGTGCATCCTCCTGCTCCTTGTACGTGAACAGGTTGGGCCCGTTCTTCTCCAGGTCTGCCTCTCCATCTGTGCTCGGCGCAATTTTGGGGAACGCCGCCGTCGTCGCACACGAGGCTTTTGACCAGCGAGTTGTTGCCCTGGGGTGCGATCTTCTGGAAAAGCTGCGCCTGGCGGTGACGCGACATGTCAGAGAGGGGCTTGGTACCAGCGCGCTCGAGAACAGGCATGTGTCCCAACCCAGGGGGGGTAGATCGGTCGGGGGATGGCCAAGGCCATGCCACTGGGGATGCGGATCGGTTTGACGATGCTCAGCAGGTCACCAAGGGCCCAGGCCCCAGCGAGCTGCGCATCGCCGGTTCGTGGCCCTCGCCGGGCGCGCAGCTGCGGCTGGCGTCGGCCGGCGAGGCTGCGGAAGTGGTGGCCGCGCTGTCGGGCATAATGCAGGAGGTGTCCCTGAGCTTGCTCGCGGCAGCGCCGCCAGGTGCGCCGACGTCGCTCGTGCACGAGCCGCTGACCCAGAGCCGTGGGCCGTCTGCGGCAGGGATAAAGAGCCAGGGCCAGGGCAAGGGCGAGCTACTGTGCGCTGGATACCTGCTCTGGTCCAGCCTGCCGCGGGGCCTTTCGGAAGACCCAGAGGCTCCTCAATACAGCCTCGTGTGGGCTGAGCTGCGAGGGCCCGATCGATTTGGCTACGCTTGGATCTTCTTCTACACATCGCACCACGACGAGGCCGCCCTGGTCCACAAGATGGCCTGGCCCAAGCCGGGGCAAGACCTGGTGGACATCCGCGGTTGCGTCGTCAGCTTCGCCCTGGCCACCGAAGAGGAGGAGCTGTGCATCGACGGGGAAGCCAGCACCGACCACCTCACCTTTGCGACGGAGCTCGAGGCCCAGGTGTGGCTGCGCACCGCGACCTCGCTCTACGATGGCGGGGTGGGGCCGGATTCTGCGGGTGCAAGTGGGGTACCGATGGGGCTCTCCGTGGAGTTCTAGGGGGGGGCGTTATCTGATCCAGTTATTTTCGAGGGCGGAATCCGGCCGGGCGACGGGGTATCAATCTAGAACGAGCAGCGGTTCACGCCGGCTCGTTGACAGTACGCTGACTCTGGATTCCAGCATCCCAATCTACTTCAGAGCGCCTCGTCTCCTCTACAAGAATGCCATGTATGCTTTCGCTGTGTGTTGTCCCAGTCCCTGCGAGGGCCTGAAGCCTGTGCCATTTTGCACCACCTTCTGTCGACCGACGTGCGTCGGTGTCCCTCCCCTCAGGACGAGGACCTCCTCGAGCGAGCGGCGAAGGGTGCCCGGGCGCGCCTGGACGGCGCCCCCCCGCAGCCGCTGCTCCGCAGGAGCGACGAGGCCGCCTGGCCGCCGGAGCCCGACGCGCTCCCGATGGACGAGGTGGGCGAGGCAGAGAAACTGGTGCGACTGCGCGGACGTTCGCGCGCAAGCTGCCCTTGGCGGCGGGTGAGGGGGGCAGGCGAGAAGGCGAAGGCCTCCTCAGAAGGTGGCGGGACTTCTCAGGAGCGCTCCGTCCCTCTGAGAGGTGTTCGGTGTCTTCGGGGGAGGCCCAGAACATGTCTCAGAAGGCCCGGGGACTTCCGAGCCTTCGAGGAGGCCTTCTCCTTCTGACTCCCCCCCCCGGGCTCGCCGCCGAGAGGTCAGCGACGCAGAAAAGCGGGTCCGACTGCGCGGGCATTCGCGGGCAAGCTGCCCGTGTCAGGTCGCGCGTGAGCGTCCTCTGCTCCACGCGGCGCGCCACGCTGGCGGCCCGCACGAGCCGCGACCTCAGGTCGCTGTGACTTCTCGCGTGAGGCCCGAGTTCTTTTCGTCGCCCAGGTGGCCGTGGCTGCCCGGCGCGGCGCGCTGCCGTGGCAGCAGGAGAAGGCGGCGGCCTCGTCGGGCTTCCCGCGCTGGCCCTGGTGCCTGGAGCCCGCCGCGGCGCTGCTGTCGGTGGGCTGGTGGCGGAGCAAGGTCGTCGACCAAACGTGAGGCTAGGTCTCCTGGATGGGGTCGGGGTGGATGGGGTCGGCGGATCGCGCCGCATCGCCGATGCCTCGGCGATGCGGCTCGATGTTGTGAGCCCGATGTGCGTCACGCCGATGCATCGCCGATGTGTCGCCGATGTGTCGCCGATGCGGCGCGACCCTCCGACCCCATCTACTCCGACCCCATCCAGGAGGCATCTAGTAAGAGCGACTCGGAGAGGGACAGATTGCATAAGCAGAAGCTTTCGGAGCTCCGAGCGGATTTCTTGGACCTGCGCTGGAGCCCCCCTGGCGGCGCCTCTAGCGCCGCCCCTGGCACGCTCCGCGCGCCAGTGAGGGGGTTCAGCGCCGATCCGAGAAGTCTGCGCGGAGCTCCGAAAGTTCATGATCATTCCGTTTGTTGCTCCTCCGGTGACCCTTCGCCGAAGTGACCTTTGGTGCGGGCCCACGTGGGTCCTCTGGTGGCAGAACGCGGCGCGATGGCGGCGGCTTGCGCGCCTCGGTTTGGCACTCCGCGCCCCCCCCCGTTAAAGGCGCGCGCGCCAGAGGTCACTCCTGCCCAGGGCCACTCTTGCGTGTGGCCGAGGTCGAGGGCTTGGCCTCGGCCTTCGGAAGCCCTCTGGCGTCGCTCCGCGCGTGGAGGAGGTCGCCGGCGCTGCCCTGGTGGGCGCGGAAGTGGCTGCTCGCCGAGAGCAGCTAGAGGCGCTGCGTGTCCAGCCTGCTCCGGCAAGCCCGACGGGCGGGCGCCGGGAGCGGACGGAGAGCGGGCTTCTCAAGGAAGTCCCACCTCGGCCCCGCCGGGACGGCGTCTGGCGCGCTGCGTGCTCTTCCCTGCCGCGTGCCGGGCGCTGCCGCTCGCCAGGCCCAGCTGTTTCCAACCGAGCTGCTCTCGACCTCTCTCTCCAGGCAGCGGACAGTCGATCATAATGCTGCTGCGCCTCACCCTCCTCCTCATCCTCCACAACAGTATCCTTTTTGCCTCTCTCTGTTCAACGCTGCTCTCTGCCCTCTATGCTTGGAAGCTGGGGGCCCGCCGCTGGGACCCCGCCGAAATCGGACCAGAACCCGGAAGGTGGAACCCGGCTGTCCACTGAAGTCCACACGGCATGTCCACCAGGCCTGGGAGCCCAGGAAGTCGGCCGCAACCGAATTCGGCCTGGTACTTTCAACCCTCTCAGTGCAAGCATTGATTGGGGAATGATCGTGACCTCTCGCAGGCATCCTTGGGAGGCTCCGTGGCCACTTCGAGCCATGTTGGGGCTGACGTAGGGTCCTTACTCCAAGGTGGGCAAAGTTCTGGCGTAGTGGAGGCCATCTGGGGCTATCTCGGACCACCTTGGAGCCATCTTGGGCCGCGTCCAGAGGTAGAAGGAGTGGTAAACCGCTCACTGAAGAGGAAGAAGGGGTGGTGTCAGAAGAGGTCGTGCTCTCAACAACTGACGCACCGGGGACTTGTGGGATTTTCGAGGCCAGGCAAGAGAGTGTCCGAAGGCCATGCCTACTCTTGCCACTCCTCCTCATCCTCCTCGTATGGCTTCTTATCCGACGCTCCTCATATGTCTCCATCGATCCGCCGCCTCCTCCTCCTCCTCCTCCTCCTCCTCCTCCTCCTCCTACTCCCCCTCCTCTATCCACTTCCGCCTCCTCCTGCTCCTTCTCGCATTCCCTACACATCCGCCGCTTCTGCCTCCTCTCCCTCCTCTGGCTCATCCTGCTACCCCACATCCACCTCCACCTCGTCATCATCGTTTTGTCCATGCAGGTCTTCTTCCACCTGACACCCCCCACACACTCACACACACACACACACGCACGCACGCACGCACGCACACACACACACACACATAACCACGCACGCACGCACTCAGCCTCACACACACCACACAACTAGCATCTCATCATCATCTCATCATCATCATACAACAAATCATCATTCATCATCATCATCATCAATCCACCCCCCCCCCCCCCCCCCCCCCCCCCCCCCCCCCCCCCCCCCCCCCCCCCCCCCCCCCCCCCCACCCCCCCCCCCCCCCCCCCCCCCCACCCCCCCCCCCCCCCCCCCCCCCCACTCTTCCTATCATCCTATCATCATCATCATCATCATCATCATCATCATCATCATCATCATCATCATCATCATCATCGTCATCGTCATCGTCATCGTCATCATCATCATCATCATCATCATCATCATCAACATCATCATCATCAACACTAGCACTGCCAGATTCGTCATTACCATCGTCGTCATGCTCATCCTCGTCTTCATCCTCGCGAGCATCATCTATCTCCGACATCGCCAGCACTGTCACAGACAGTCGTCCTTCTCCTCGTATTGCTGCTCCTCCGTAGCTGTGTTCCGCCGCCTGTTCATTCTGCATCACATTTTCGCTCACCACGGCACCAGCACGGCGTGCGGCGCACCTCCTCCTTTCTCCCGAGGAACGCCACCCGCCATGGCTCCGTGCGCGGAAGTCCTGAGCAGCTACCAGCCTTGCTCCGACCGTGGCGAGGAGCCTTCCGAGGAGTCGGAGCTGGAGGGACCCTCCGAGGACGAGCCCACGGAGATCACGTTCAGGCCGTTCGCAGCTGAGGTGCGCCCAGCGAGGCCGGGTTCTGCGACGCTGGAGCTGGAGGCCGAGGCGGCCCTGCCCGACTGCGAGCCCTGCAGCGCCAAGCTCCAGCTCGGCGAGGACGGCCTGCTTGTCCACCTGCACGACGGAGGTGGGCGTGGCCGCCTGCTGCAGCTGCTCATGCTCCCGTCGGTGCAGGTCACCATCGTCCAACCCGTCCTCATGCCCCCTGGGCCATGGTACCTCGGCTCCACCAGCCCACCTCCCCAGGTGGGGATTGGCCCCGCGAAGCCCGAAGTCACGCTCACTCAAGCCATGCGTCCTGCAGGGCGCGCCGGCACGACAACCACCCTGGGCCATCGGAAGGGAGGCAGCATTCGGGTGCGTGCGACGCAGCGCAGAGGGGAGGGAGGCGAGGAGGAGGGGAGGGAAGGATGTGCGAGGGACAAGGAAGTGGCCAAATCAGGGAATGCACAATCCTACGCCGGACATGGGCAGCCAAAACGCGAAAGGGGACGCAGTCGCCAAACGAACTGCTCGAAAAATGATGCAAGCATGATGGGTTGAAGAAGACTTATGAATATCAACTGTGATTCGGGCTTGAAATTGTCTCAGGAACCTCTCTTGCGATTGCCGGCTTGTGCGGTAACTTGCTTTTTTCTGTTTTTTGATGTTTGTGTTTGTTTTATGTTGTGTTTTTGCTACGCGTCGTTGGCTGTTTATCCACTAACCCTTTTTTTTTTTTTTTTTTTGGTGTTTTTTCTTTTTTTTTTTTTTTTTTGTTTTTAGCTTTCGTTCTTTTTTTTTTATTTTATTTCGGTTTTTTCTTTTGTGACCCTTGCTTGACACCCTGTCAGAAAACAAACCCTTGACGACGTTGCTTGCCAGGGCGAAAGGTTAGACGAATGCCGCGACAGCGTCAAATGCATTGTGCATCCTCCTGCTCCTTGTACGTGAACAGGTTGGACCCGTTCTTCTCCAGGTCTGCCTCTCCATCTGTGCTCGGCGCAATTTTGGGGAACGCCGCCGTCGTCGCACACGAGGCTTTTGACCAGCGAGTTGTTGCCCTGGGGTGCGATCTTCTGGAAAAGCTGCGCCTGGCGGTGACGCGACATGTCAGAGAGGGGCTTGGTACCAGCGCGCTCGAGAACAGGCATGTGTCCCAACCCAGGGGGGGTAGATCGGTCGGGGGATGGCCAAGGCCATGCCAGTGGGGATGCGGATCGGTTTGACGATGCTCAGCAGGTCACCCAGGGCCCAGGCCCCAGCGAGCTGCGCATCGCCGGTTCGTGGCCCTCGCCGGGCGCGCAGCTGCGGCTGGCGTCGGCCGGCGAGGCTGCGGAAGTGGTGGCCGCGCTGTCGGGCATAATGCAGAAGGTGTCCCTGAGCTTGCTCGCGGCAGCGCCGCCAGGTGCGCCGACGTCGCTCGTGCACGAGCCGCTGACCCAGAGCCGTGGGCCGTCGGCGGCAGGGATAAAGAGCCAGGGCCAGGGCAAGGGCGAGCTACTGTGCGCTGGATACCTGCTCTGGTCCAGCCTGCCGCGGGGCCTTTCGGAAGACCCAGAGGCTCCTCAGTACAGCCTCGTGTGGGCTGAGCTGCGAGGGCCCGATCGATTTGGCTACGCTTGGATCTTCTTCTACACATCGCACCACGACGAGGCCGCCCTGGTCCACAAGATGGCCTGGCCCAAGCCGGGGCAAGACCTGGTGGACATCCGCGGTTGCGTCGTCAGCTTCGCCCTGGCCACCGAAGAGGAGGAGCTGTGCATCGACGGGGAAGCCAGCACCGACCACCTCACCTTTGCGACGGAGCTCGAGGCCCAGGTGTGGCTGCGCACCGCGACCTCGCTCTACGATGGCGGGGTGGGGCCGGACCTGGCGGGACAAAGGGGTACCTGATGCAGCTTCCCCTGGAGCTCTCCAGGGGGGGGGGGGGCGTTCTGACCAGAATTTCGAGGCGAATCCGGCCGTGGCGACGAGGGCTCTCTAGAACGAGCAGCGGTACACGCCGGTCGTTGACAGTACGTACTTCTGGATTCCCAGATCCCAATCTACTTCGAGCGCCGTCCCTCTTCAAGAATCGACATATGCTTTCGCTGTGTGTTGTCCCAGTCCCTGCGAGGGCCTGAAGCCTGTGCCTTTTTGCACCACCTTCTGTCGACCGACGTGCGTCGGTGTCCCTCCCCTCAGGACGAGGACCTCCTCGAGCGAGCGGCGAAGGGTGCCCGGGCGCGCCTGGACGGCGCCCCCCCGCAGCCGCTGCTCCGCAGGAGCGACGAGGCCGCCTGGCCGCCGGAGCCCGACGCGCTCCCGATGGACGAGGTGGGCGAGGCAGAGAAACTGGTGCGACTGCGCGGGCGTTCGCGCGCAAGCTGCCCTTGGCGGCGGGTGAGGGGGGCAGGCGAGAAGGCGAAGGCCTCCTCAGAAGGTGGCGGGACTTCTCAGGAGCGCTCCGTCCCTCTGAGAGGTGTTCGGTGTCTTCGGGGGAGGCCTAGAACATGTCTCAGAAGGCCCGGGGACTTCCGAGCCTTCTGAGGAGGCCTTCTCCTTCTGACTCCCCCCCCCCGGGCTCGCCGCCGAGAGGTCAGCGACGCAGAAAAGCGGGTCCGACTGCGCGGGCATTCGCGGGCAAGCTGCCCGTGTCAGGTCGCGCGTGAGCGGCCTCTGCTCCACGCGGCGCGCCACGCTGGCGGCCCGCACGAGCCGCGACCTCAGGTCGCTGTGACTTCTCGCGTGAGGCCCGAGTTCTTTTCGTCGCCCAGGTGGCCGTGGCTGCCCGGCGCGGCGCGCTGCCGTGGCAGCAGGAGAAGGCGGCGGCCTCGTCGGGCTTCCCGCGCTGGCCCTGGTGCCTGGAGCCCGCCGCGGCGCTGCTGTCGGTGGGCTGGTGGCGGAGCAAGGTCGTCGACCAAACGTGAGGCTAGGTCTCCTGGATGGGGTCGGGGTGGATGGGGTCGGCGGATCGCGCCGCATCGCCGATGCCTCGGCGATGCGGCTCGATGTTGTGAGCCCGATGTGCGTCACGCCGATGCATCGCCGATGTGTCGCCGATGTGTCGCCGATGCGGCGCGACCCTCCGACCCCATCTACTCCGACCCCATCCAGGAGGCATCTAGTAAGAGCGACTCGGAGAGGGACAGATTGCATAAGCAGAAGCTTTCGGAGCTCCGAGCGGATTTCTTGGACCTGCGCTGGAGCCCCCCTGGCGGCGCCTCTAGCGCCGCCCCTGGCACGCTCCGCGCGCCAGTGAGGGGGTTCAGCGCCGATCCGAGAAGTCTGCGCGGAGCTCCGAAAGTTCATGATCATTCCGTTTGTTGCTCCTCCGGTGACCCTTCGCCGAAGTGACCTTTGGTGCGGGCCCACGTGGGTCCTCTGGTGGCAGAACGCGGCGCGATGGCGGCG